GCGAGCATCAAAGCGGACCATCAGGCGATGATGCGAAATCTTGGTAGCTGAGTAAGTGTGACAGCGTTGTGACTCCAACCGGATGCGAAGAATTTCACCTGAATGTACGGACGGATCACGATAAGTCATCCTCCTCGGAGGCCACCTATTTGCAATAGAGTGTATTTGCAAGGTAGTCAAAGTTCTCCGCCCGCAGTAGGCAAAGATGTCCGAGGGGAAACTCGCCAAAACATGCAGTGCATAATCAACGTCCCACTCCACTTTCCCGTGCTGGAAATTCACTCTAATGATAACTCCACCGGAACGGAGTTTGTGGATGCACGGCAATGCCAACGCGCGTCAGAAGAGCCGGTCCTAGAGCGACTGAGGGCGCGACATAGCACGCGAATACTGGAGCGAACAAAGTCAGGGGCAAGCTGTCGCCACAAAGCTTAAGAGCAGTGAAGATGCGCATTCTTCAGTACACAACTATTCCGCTAGGACTCGCATACGCCTTCGTGATTTTGTCCAGAGTTGTCTTTCCTTACACAATCGCCAAGCGCACTCATGTCAGACACGATATTCGACGGCTATTACGACGTGCCTGCCGCAGGTAAGTACCTACAACAGATATAGCCAAAGGACGACTCTGAGCTTATTATTGATACACAGTTACAAAATTAGACAGCTATATCGAATCTGCTTCTTCTGGAGAGGCAAAATTTATGCAACTTGCCTGCTTGAGGAACGTGAGTATACTAGTAATACAACTTTGATGCAGATGTATGGCCATACTGAGATCCACATTCACAGCAAAGCGGTATGGATTATTCCGCCACTGTGCAGAACATCGGTGTCCCGAAACGTTTCCGCCTATGCAAATCTTCTTTGGACAACCCCAATGTCTGCGAAGAATTGGTGTTTCGAGCGCAGGGGATCGTGGTGGAGTGCAGCCTACTGCCTTTGGGTCGCGAGTGAGTATCATTCAAACTCTGCTGAAACAACGACGTTCAATCCCACTCCATTAGGATAGCTGGAAACAAGTTCAATCTTCGGCAAACTGTGGTTCTGTCGGGGTTCAACAGCCAGCTGTTCGAAGAATTCTTGGATTCTTGTGCGATAGCATACAACATGTTCAAACGCCATCTTCCTCCGACCTCGCTTTTTCCGTTAGCCCAAGAAACGATAAACTTAAACAACCACACGTACTCGGCCATCCGGTTCACCAACCCGGTATTCACCAAACCTAACACAGAGGGCATCTCTTCCAATACACTTAGCCTGGAAATACCTGACGAACTTGACCCTTCACGAGCTCTCAGGAAGTCGCAAGGCAATGCCTTGTATCTCGATGATAATGCGATACATATATATCGCGTCGAGAAACCGTTTGGGTACGAGTACCTAAGCGATGCCTGGATTGATATAATAACCAACGATTCTTACACAGTACGCTGCGGCGGACCACGGCCGGAACAGTGAATATCGGAGACATGGTGGAATTGGAGATGTCGTTCTGGGCGATGAAAACACGGAACAAGAGATTTCGTATGGAAATCGGTCCACGTTCTATCGCGGTCTTAGATCAGACTTATCAGGAGGTAAGTTCAAAGTCATCGTGACTGGCGATATTAATCAGCGAGAAACAGGAAGCATTCATTCACAAGATGCGTGCAGATAGACAAAAGGACATTGTCGTCACGAAGTCACCAACGGTCGGTACATTTCGTAGAAGGCGGGATGACGAAGACGTGGGATCCAGTGACAAGCGCACCCGTCTGTATGTACATGAGACGTCGATGCGAGTTGATGACATGTAGTGCACATATACTGATATCGTCATTTGACCTACTGTAACAACAAGTTTTTCTGTAATATAGCACTACGTGATACATGCCCTCATAAGTAGATATACGTTACTCCTCGCCCAAAATCACTTTCACTCTCTTGTTCGAAGCGCGTTCGAGAACGGTGCCATGTTTGCGCTTGCGCTTGCTCGAGCTGGTGTTCGCGACGAACGTTTGTTTGTCTGACTCCGAGGAGGCGAGGAACGGCGTGAGATCCAAATGTTCTTCGCTGAGAGGTGTCTGTCGACGCAGAATGGTGATGTCTTGCTCGTTCAACTCGATTTTCGTCTCGAAACGTTGGTGCTTGTTGAGAGCGTCGCCCATTTCCGGTATACCAACGTGATCCCACTGCCCAGCCCAAAATTCCTCCAACGGATCCCGGAATTGATCATAGATGTTTTCGGGGATCAGACGTGCCAACTTCGGGTTGTGCTTGTACTCTAGTCCTCCAAATCGAGAGTTAGCCCGCTCCTTGGCGGCGTACGATAAGAGCGCCTGCGCAAATTTCTCGATAGCGGCGTGGAAGACTGTAAATTCCTCGTTCGACGGCTTTCCCACCGTGTTGGCGACTCGAACATCGTGATTTCGAAGAACTATGACCATCAGCCGCTGATACGCGAAACGGATTGTTGCTAGCTCGTCCACATCGATGCGTCCGTTCTGGAGGTCGTCGACGTCTCCACGATAAATCAATGCCTCGTAGAAGCAAGCGACGTTCCCGACCGCAAGCAAAGTGAGAAGACCTTCAGTAGTGGATAAATCGGGACATCGCACTTTGCGAAGACGTTAAGATGCAGCGATAAGCAGAGAAGTAAGTATGTCACTCACAGGGATTGATCTCTTCCTCTTCATAGCACCGACACCAATAAGGGAGCAAGCGTAGCAAGACGTTAATCATTCCAAGATGATATGTGTTCGTGGTGAAAGTCGACGTGAATAACGCGTGGACCATCGTTATGACCGAACGTCTGAGGTGAGGCAACGAATAGTAATGACGACCATAGACGATTGACGTCTGCAAGGTGAGGACATAATGAAGGGTACCCGGCTTCATGAATCTGATGTAGTCTTCTGTCAGTTGTGATACGCTCAAGGCTGAAATGCGACTAACAAACAATCGCCTGGGCCGAGCAGCACAGCTTCCCATTTATACCGGTCAAGGCTGGCATTCGCCGGATCGTAGTTAGGCGCAAATGCGTCGATGGTGTCGTAACAATCATCCTGCGGATCAACGGGCTTGGCCATGCACCAAAGCTTGAGTCCCTGAACAACGATGACCATGGTACCCGCACCCTCCGCATCGATATGCGGCCAAGTCGACACGTCGGCAAGACCAACAAGTGCCCATGATACGTCATCATATGGGAATGCCTTGCGATTAGACAGTTGCATACGCTCCATGACAACCTCAGCCGGCTTCCAAGCGGCTCGGCCAGTGTCCAGTATACCCCTGTCGAAAATATGATATTTCAATCCCGCGGCATAAATTGTCAGGAAGAAACAGCTTACATTCCATAGACATCCACAAGCCCACGTTGACCGAGGGGAATATCGAGTGCGTTGTACAAGGCACCGGTATGAATCGGTTTCTGCGCTTCTTCCAAGAGTATGTCCCGGCCGACCCACAGATGTTCAACGCCGTACGAATTTATGTTACGCAGAGCAAGATCTGCATACACATTAGGCGATATAGTAGCATAGCAGAAACAAATCAAATACCTTGTACTTCCACTAGGTCCTTCATTCCCAACTGCTCACAAAAGCAGAACTCGGATACCTCATATACAGTCTTCATCAGGTGATCGCTGACGACAATATTGGCCTTGCTATGAATATTCAAAAGAGCGCTGGGCTCAAGACTCGACCAATCGTTATAGCTACAGAAGTGGACAGAGGGGGCCCACTCCTCTGCGTCTGAATGCTTGATATCAGTACGCTTCTACGAATACCGCACGCGAAACCTACAAGTCGCAGGATCCTGGAGGCCGTTCCGACTCTTCAAAAAACTTGATGCACTGCCCATGATATCTTGGACGAGTTTGTACTCGATTTTTGCCTGGCGATAGTATTCAGTGAGCTATATCCACAAGAATCAAACGTAAAACCTCACGATGCGCCTGAAAGTACGATACTCGTATTTGATCTCCTCGTCGCGTTTGAGGGGTCGCGGAGGGAGATCGAGGAGTAGCGAATCAGAGCTCCGAACCGGGACCGCATGTCGTCGCTGTTCAAGTCAAGATTATAGATCAAAAAGACAGCTATCGTATGAGAGAAGACGAGACGCACTAGCTTCTGTGGTGCCTTCTTCTGGGAGCGTTTTCCCTGCGCAACAGCTGATACGAAAAGACTCCAGAATGCTCCACGATTGCGAGGGTCATAGATAGTAACTTGTCGAGACTTGGCATCGAGGACGGATTCGAATTTCCGTTTGACTTTCGACTCGGTACGAGCTTTCTTCGTCTTCTTCTTGGGTTTAGCGGGTGCGAGAGCCACCTCATCATTATTAATGTCTCCATCTCCGCTTTCGGTCTCGCCATCGTTGCCAACATTCTGAAGGTTACCCACATCTTCATCATCGTCAACCTCGTCGTTCTGTTCCTCGTTCCCAACCTCGTCCTCATCCTCGTCGACATTCATGTCACTTTGCTGGTTCGCAAGCATGCGTCCTATGACTGATTCGTCGTCGTCGTGATTAGTCCTGTCCGAACCATCGCCCTCGTCCGGATCCTCAATATCATCGCCGTCGATCGTTTTGCTCTTCGCTCTAGCTCCACGCTCGGTGTCGGAGGCATCCGATTCATCTTCGTCATCGCTGTTGTCCTCGTTCTTGCCACCTCTGCCTTTTCCGCGCAACCTCGATTGCTTCTGAACGAGCGACGCGCCTTCCCCGACGATTTCCGAGGGAGGTTTGCCCTTGTTCGAGCGTTCACTTACGCGTGTGGGGGGCTGTGCGATAATTGGCCACAGAGCGATACAATAAAGACGAATCACGTACTGTTGGCAACGCCTTCGATGGTTTCGTACGCTTGACGGACGCTTCTGCATTATCCTCCGATACTAAAATCTCCTCATAGGCTTCGAAGTCCTCCAGCAAGGTGTTGCTGTGATCACTAGATTTCTTCACTGAGAGTCTTTCAGATACCGAATCGACTGATGCAATGTAGAAACTCACACGGAATGGCCCTATGAAGCCACGACAGTTCTGACGAAGGTATGCTCGACTCGTTCTTGACATAGAATTTGTCCCAGTCGCTGAAAAACTTGTGCAAACCGACTAACGTCCCATATCGACCCGCCGCAATGTCACATAGGCGACGGACAAGCAGATTTTCCGTCCAAACGAGCCACGCTGGTTTCGCTTTCTGAGCTTGCATAAAAGATGCCTACATATCCTTTTGAGTCAATCGCTGCTAACCGTTCCGACTGATCAACGCACCATAACTAGAGGTGTCACAGCTCGGCGGCCAGACAATAGGAACTTGTGAAGTAACGCCAGGGGAGAGAACAGAACGGCAAATCCGCATGCTGCCTCAATCTGCAACGGTGACAGACTCCTTATCCGTCCTCATCGCGACCACCAGATTCTCGGAGGGATCTGCAGACGCACATATGAGTTTCATATATACACCGCCTAAAGTTATGGCGGTATACGTACTTGTCAGTGAAAGCCTTGATGGCTTTCCCAAGGTCTATCTCTAGAGCTCCATCCTACCAGCACGACAGCCTCAGCCAACGACCAACATTCAAGATGTGAGGTGCATACATGGTGAAGCACCCATCGGACCATGAGCGACGCAGATTCGACATTGAAGATGATGCGCTGAGCGTTCGCAGAGCTCAGCCTCTGGGTCATATTGCGAAGAAGTCCGACGACATCCGATTTCTCGGAGGATTGAATCTGCGTGCGCGTATACCTGTTGTCTGTGAGATCTCCGTGGTCGATGTC